GGAGGGCACCTTTTGGGATGAGCACTGGGTGTTGTATGGAAACCAATTTGACAATAAATTTCATATATAAATAAAAAAAAATAAATAAAAGCTTGATGTTTGCGCTTTTTAATGTCCTGGTTTAGGTTTAATGTTCCTGATTTAGCTAAATGAATGGACATACAAATAGGACACTAGTTTTAACATTTAAATTCAGGGAGTATTCAGAAAGCTTTTTCGGACTGGTGCTGCTACGTTTTATAGTTGCTTTGGAGTTTCCATATAGGAAGGACTTTGGTTATTGATCTAGGCCTAGAACATACTAGAGTCTTTTCTATGACCCCAAATTTCAGGAAAGACTCAATTTTTATTTAAATTAAGTTTATAAATTTAAGATAAACCCGGGTGTCTCAGTGGGTTGAGCATCTGACTCTTGGTTTCGGCTCAGGTCATGATCTCACCTATTGTGGGTTCGAGCCCCCCCTCAGGCTCTTTGCTGACAGTGCAGAGCCTGCTTGGGCTCCTCTCTCTCTCTCTCTCTCTCTCTCTCTGCCCCTCCCACGCTCGTGCTCTATCTTTCTCTCAAAAAATAAATAAACTTAAAAATTAATTAATTACTTTTAGAAATTTAATCATATTTAAAGTTAATATATTTGCTATTCATAAATTCAACAATCCCTTTAAAATGTGAACAGCCAAGTGTAGTTTAACAGAAATATTACTTTTTATATGCTGGATTTTATTAAAGATATATCCCATGATACCAAAAAAAGATACATAAAATTAAACAGGTTTCTCCCTTTGCGGTCAGAAGGACCATGACAACTCATTTACTGAATGTAGAGAAAGCAAAAATTCCTAATCTTGCTTTCCAATTTTCCAAGATTTCTGCCTATAAGTTAAATCTAAGTACCTAAATCTTCATATAAGTTAAATCTAAGTACAGAAATATATGGGGTTTTAAGTAATAATGAAGTAGGAATATACATACTACATAACATCAACAGTATGCAATCTGTCCATACTGTCCAGTGTCTTGAATATAGTAGGTGCTCAATAAATATTTAGTGAAAGACTGAGTGAATGAATATAGGCTAAGATCTCTCCATCATAATCTGGAGTTGAAGGGGGTATAATTTTTAAGGAAAATCTACCTTAAAATTTAGTTTTTAGATATAACACAAAGCACAAACATCTAAAATATGAAACACGATCTTTGAAAATCACTGAAGATCACCAATATTACAGAGATAAAAGGTACAGTGACTGTTATAAAATATCATTGATATAATATTGAGATTTAGATTTGATTTTTCCCTTAGGTCATTTCAGGCTTGTCCATTCCATGGCATTAGCTTCTGAGGTTAGGAATTCTGTGAGTGTTTTAATGTGTAGCACATGTACATGAGATTCATGATGTACTACATGATAAAATGTTTAATCAAAGTACATGATACACGTGAAACTTCACATCTTTTTATTATAAAATACTAATTGAAAGCTGTCCAAGAATTCATTGATTTTTTAAATTAAATTGTGGATTTTACCAGCAAATTATAAAACTAAATGACACAGAGACTGCAGTATATCCAAATGTAAAAGATCTAGTTAATGGATTGCTGCAGTTAAGGTTTTAAATGTAGGCCAACAATATCATTTATGATGATGCTGTCATTAATATTTTAGTTTTGACTTTACACAAAACTTAGTGTCAAATAAATAAATACCTTTTAATTTTCCATGTAGTACTAAGTTATGAGCAATTTGAATATAGAAATTAGAGACACATACCTTGAAGAGAACTTGACATAGTGTGCACAATCTTGATTGTAAGGCACTGAAGTAGATCTCTCTTGGACCTTAAAGACACAGGGAAATACTTTGGTAAAATTTTTTATCATAAATTCTTTTGAGTTATTAATCTATGGATGAAGATTCCTTTCTTCGTATAGAGATATTTTCCTAAAAATACAACATATAAAATCCGATTTTCTTAAATAGATTGTATTTTCCTAATTTTAGTATAACTTTATAGCTGCTTAACCATAATTTCTGATGGTATCCTTGAATTTTAGTATAATAACAGATCTGGACATTATATAATCAAACACTTTAATTTTTGTATTGAATAATCTGTGCCCCAGAGAGGAAAATAACTTTTCTAAGAATTTACATCAAGTTAAAGGATATCCATAATCAGAATATAGGTCTCACAACTGCTAATTTAATGTTCTATATTTTCATATTACTTTTTATATCAAGTCCAAATTTCTCACTCAGAATGTAAGCTCAAACTTCTCACCCACTGACCCTTTTAAACTAACCCTAGATTTTCAAAAGCTGTAACACACACACACTACATCATTAAAATCTCTTGAGTCAAAACTGTCCCACCTTTAAGAAAGTATGTTTTTTTTTCACTTTACAATTTGACTATATTATGACAATCAGTTTTCCAAATACTTTTCAATTCTAAATGAATTAGTTTGGTTTCTATTAATTATTCCTTCATCTAATGCAGCAAAATGCTTGAGAAAAGAGCACATATATCAGCATCCATCAGTGGGGCACATTATTTTCTGCTAACATTAGTAGATAGGACCATGTAGTGTTGCCTTGCCTCATTTAGTTTTATATCATTAGGTTTCTACTTAAAATACTTTTTAACTAACCAAAACAAATAGGTTATTCTGGCATTCAACAAGGTAGTCACACTAGATTCTTTAGAAAGAAAAATTAAACATGTTACATTTTTTTAAAACTCTAGCATTTTCATGCTCATAAAGTCATTCTATAGGTTCTAGAAACGTGACTTATCAAGGTTGTGATCGATAAGAAATGAAAAATGTTGTTAATTGTTCACCTGTTTGGTAATGTGTATTTCCAAATGTAACCACATGTTTAGTAGTATGGATAATAAGCATCTTTTTCCATATTTGATTCACATGCCCTGGCATTATATTGACCCAGACTAGGTCTCCCTGGTTCATTAAACTGATCTCAGAAAGTTTATTGACACTAGTAAACCAGAGGCCAGGATTCCTCAGAAAAGATAAAGGCCAAAAATAAGAAAAACTAATGCCTAATAAGAATTGGCTTGTTGAATTTTGAGGAATTTGGTCCCAAAAAGGAGAAGATGATTAGTAAGAATAGTTATGTATGAGACAAATGATGTATTCCAAACCAGTCAGGTATAACTCATTATATTTCCTGTTTAAAGAGGCATGCTTAAGGTAATAATTATCTGAGAGTAGGAGTAAAGTCATAATTTCATAAGGCAGAGAGGGAGACATAAGGCCTTTTGTAATTAAATAATACAATCCAGTTTATGTTCCTTCTGCCAGTGGTTAGTATTTATAAAGTAATATTCTGTTATTCACTCCAGAGGACTGTTAGTATCAGAAGTAACATATTTAAAAAAGATAATTGTCCATGAAAGATATCACTGTGAAGCATCTAGAAGGAAGAAATAGAGTGATCTGGGACCCTTGTGCTGATTAAGAACAATGAGACTTCTGACTCACTATTAATAAGGCAAGAATTTGAGTTCTTTAGTCAGCCACCTGATTCATCCTTAGTGATCAAGAAATTTGTAGATGACTAGCTGTTATGAATGCTAGCTATGATGATAATATCTTGTCCTTATGGGAACTGAAACTGCAACTTGGGCTTCACCAATACCCTATGCTAAATGCTGTTAATACAGTCGTGAAAACAGAATCATCCTGGCTATGAGGACTGACTTGATTATTCCTATAAGTGTAAGAAAATAAACCACAGATTAAATGATCCAGATGCTGTCATAAACAGAACAGAGACAATGAACGGAAAAGGTATGTGTGATTGTGTTATAAGCTTAACTACCCAAGTTTTTTATGAGCAACGTTTTTACTTAAAAGAATGACAACTATGATTATTCAACTTAGGCATTTGGCAGGCATTTTATTTAAAATCAGTGAAGTTAGCCAGTCAATTCAAGGAAAAAACAACTGATGTTATTTGTTAGTAGTGATAAAATTGAGCTTTGAAGTAAAAATTTAAATTTTAAATTTATTATCTATCACCATGCACTTGGCAGCTTATCAATAATCATTTTTCTGATGAAATTGGTGATATTAATAGATGCTGTTTATTGATGTTGTATAATGAAATGTGTAAATATTTGGAAAGATCTACATACACATTGAAATATTTTCCAACTGACCAATGTATTAAGATACAAAATTGTGCATGAGTAAAACATCTATTCATAGCAAATAATAGAACAATAGATTTTAATATTTATGAATATGCAAAATTTCACTGATAGGGTTTTAAGTTCCAGTTCCCTAGCTTTAGTGTATTATCAAAGAATATCCACAATTATCTGAAAAAGCTATGAAGATTCTCTCTTCCCAATTCCTTATATGTGAGAAGCCAGCTTTTACTCATATAATTCATTTAGCATATACTAAATATATGGTAACAAATGGGATGCAGAGCACATATGAGAATCCAGTTGTTTTCCATTAAGCAAAATGGAAAATAGTTATTGTTTATTAAAAATTATTTCTTATGTTGACATATAATACTTTTAAATGAATTAGTAAATATTTTATTTTTTGTTTTAATTTCTAATACATGAAATATTGGATGACACAATCCACATAAACAAAAGTTTTTTGGGGGTCTTCAATGTTTAAGAGTATAAAGCATCCCTGAGACCAAAAAGTTTAAGAACCACTGTTTTAGGCACTTAATGTCACAGCAACTCATACTGAGAAACTTACTTCATTTCCTTTAGGATTTGGAACATATGGCTGCAATGGTTCTATTTGGACTTCAGCCTGAATTGAATGAAATACTTCATCATTGTCTGATGATTCATCTTCTTTGTCCTTTGAAACAAAAAGGAAAATAAATATTTTAATTGTTGTTAAAATACAAATAATATGAGTAATTCTATCATCCCAATGTACAATTTAAAAGAATAATTTTCAAATATTAAAATTGATTTAAACCATAAGATTCTAATAGTTTGTGGTTCTGGATTCCCTTTAGAATCTGAGGAGATTCTAGGGTTGCCTGGGTGGCTCAGTCGGTTGACTTTCCAACTTCGGCTCTCATGGCTGTGCTCATGAGTTCAAGCCCTGCATCGGGCTCTGTGCTGACAGCTCAGAATGTGTAGCCTGCTTCGGATTCTGTGTCTCCCTCTCTCTCTCTGCCACTCTCCCACTTGGACTCTGTCTCTGTCTCTCTGTCTCTCTCTCTCTCAAAAAAAAAATTTAAAAATTAAAAAAAAAAAAAGAATCTGAGGAGATTCTAATTGCATATGGACACAGATATCTGCATATATTTTCAGGGGGATCATTGACCACCTGCAGCTAATCTGTTAGACCCAGGTTAAGAATCTCCGGTCTAAAGCTTACCTCAAAATCTCAAACTGTCACTTTTAGTAAGCAGTTATAATTACAAACTTTGGTCCTCCTGTGCAATGGAAGATCTGAAATATAGCAGTGCAAATATTTCTCACTAATTGAGCTCTAGGAGTTTAAGAAAGTTTCTGTTTTCACACTTAAGCCAATCAATATTATTTCTTCAACTCAGAGTAATGAAAATTAGTTTTCTTTCCTTTGGCTAAAGATCTCACATACGTCTCTAAATGCTAACAAATTTTTAGGTAATTCAAAAGATCTATGACTTTGATTTAATATTAATTTTCTTTTCTTTTATATTTTTGTTAAGAATCACACATAAAGATATGAATGCCTGTACAAGATCCTAGGGTCATGGGATTGGTAACTATTATTTATTGACCTTTTCTTCCATGTTAGAATGGCTTCTCACATATATACTTAAAACACTGAATGACAATAAGTATGTGTCATGCTACCAATGCCATGGGTGTACCAATGCCATGAATGTATACAACTCTTTTTTATAAATGCAAAATCCGTTAATTCAGTTGTTACTAGCGCTCATTGATATTAGTCAATTAGGTCTTTTCTTTGCTTGTTGCTTCTACTTTTTCTCAAGTTAAACATGTTAGGGAAATAATATGTGTTTAATTGGCTCAATGAACATAAACCAAAAGACTCACTTATCCAGACATTCAGACAAGATACATTTGTAATTACTACATTAATTATTATCAGATAAATGGATTTTGACACCAGGGTTTAATTTAGGATTCCTTTATGTAAATGGTTGTTGTGAAGTATTAGAAAACAACTGCTCTCCTAATCCTGCTGACCTCATTAATTTGCTTATAAAGACCACAAAATCCTTCACTGTCAGATTAGATCTGCCAAATTGAATTCAGCAACTCCAGCCAAATTATTTTAGAGGATTTGAAAGAATGAAGTTTTGACTATTCCAAAATAAGCTAAAGATAGTAGCATACTGCATTTCAAAAGAGTGCAGAGATGAATTTGTAACTTATGTCATGTTCAATGCAGACACTTCATTAATTATGTAAAATAGTGGAACATTAGTGAGACAAGTCATATATGTATGGTAACTATATACAAAATATTTTGGAAACTGCTTTACTGTTTCATTTTAACCTTGATTTAAACATGCAAAATAAAAAAAAATAGTATACTTCACTTAAATAGCAGAGTTCAGCATTCTATGGGGAAAAAGGCAAATTAACTTAGAGGTTAGAGGAGTAAAACCAAAGTTGTTCTTTTGTCTTTAATTTTAATGAGTTATATTTGAAATTTTGAGCTATGGCAATAATTTTTAAATATCCAAAATAGTAGTTTTAAAGGTCTATACAGTGTTCCTTTATTGGTTAAGGGAATAATAGGTAGAAAACTAATAATTAAAGCTATATCTCTACAAAGATATTAAACAATTACCTGGATTATTCAAGCAACTTTTTCTTTCTCAAATTTAGTCATGATTACCTGGAAATTTTAGGATAATTTATTTGAAGCACAAATTATTAAGTTAATTTTCTTTGGGACACAAGGAATATTTAACTCATTTGGTTTTACAGAGGGAAAACATGAGCATGGACTAGTATGTTTCTCTGCATATTTGATTCAGTAAAAATATCAGAAAGTCTTACATTTGCAACTTGTCTCAATTCTTCCTCGTGCTGATTAAAGATATCTTCCCATCTGCGCTGGCACCTTCTCCTGCAGGCTTCTAAATCTGAGATCTCAAACTCTTCAGGTCTCTGTGATAGCTTTGCCCGGAACTTCTTTGGTGATAGTCTTTTTGCCAATGCCTGCCTTAGACTAGAAACTTTTGATTTTTTCTTCCCTGCCTGTTCTGGTTGAGAGTAAAACATGTTTGAAGACAGACTTTCCATCAAGGTTTGCAGTGGACCAAGTGGCTTTGAGTTATGTGAGTTTGGTGCTCGAAGTAAGTCTCTTGATAGTCCCTCTATCAGTTCTTGAACTGAGCCAACTGCCTGTGGGGGCTCTAGTGCCCAGATGTGTGCCTGAGGTGACCCTTCAGTTTGCCTCTCTACTGGAATGAGCACTTGAGTATCCAAATGTAGTGGCAACAGCACATGGTGGTTCTGTGACAGTAGGGGCAGGAATACCTGGGCATGTACTCGTAATGACTCAGGTTCCTCTGCCTCAGTCTCTGCCTGTGTGGGCTCAACAGCCTGTTCCTGTACCTCTGGCTGTTCAGGTACCTGGTTCTGCTCCAGCTGTTGTTCAGGTAACTGGTTCTGCCCCTGGTGTTGTTCAGGGGCCTGACCCTGCCTTTGTTGTTGTTCTGGTACTTGATCTTGACCCTGAAATTCCTCTGGTACCTGGTCCAGATCCTGTGGCTCTTCTGATGCCTGGGGCTGGGCCTGAGCCTGCTGTTCTTTTGGTACCTGGGCTTGTAGCTGTAGAGGCCTAGGTGTCTTAACCTGAGCCTGTAGTGGCATGAGCATCCAGGCTGCCCTCCATAGTCTTGGAGGTGCCTTAACCTGCATCTGTAGGGGCCTAGATGCCTTCGCCTTAACCTGAGCCTGTAGTGGCTTAAACACACGAGCTGCCCCTTGTAGTCGCTGAGGTGCCTGGGCTTGCCCCTGTAGAAGCCTAGGTGCATTGTCCTGAGCTCGTAGTGGCATGAACACCCTGGCTGCTCCCTGTAGATGCTGAAGTGCCTGGACCTGTGGCTCTTCTCGATCAGGCAACCACCTTGGCTGAGAGGGTTCTCCATGCAGAACTCTAAGTGGTCTGCATCTACTGCTAGTTGGCAGTCTCAGAAGCTCATGGGTACAAGAAGGTCCTCTAGAAGGAAACACACAAATGATTGCTATATAGTAAGAACTGCCAGCGGAGTGAAGCCACTCAGGCTTCACTTTTTTTTTATTTTTAAAAATGGACATTTTCTGCAATAAAGGTATTTTCAGTAAATCTTTCTTGAATCATTCTTATAATGTCTGAAGTATTCTTTGTATTACTAATATACTCAATATTAATTATCTCATAAACTACTTTATCATTCTACTACCAGAAATGAAAGAATCTTTGAATAGTAATAAAAATTTTTCCTCAACATTTCCATTCAAATATGTTTTGAAAAAAAAAAGATCTGTTATTTGTTGTATCAGAAAGGATTACTCTTCTGAGTCAAATGCAACAGTACAGGATCAACTGTCTTACATAAATTGCTAACAACAAATTATATGCAATTTATCAAACACACCTGAATCTTCTCATGGTGTACTGCTCCTTAATAGCTTCTTCTCTTTCAAATATCAGAGGTATTCCTTTGTATAAAAAAAAAATTATACATAAAAATCAGCAGAGATTAATGCAATTTACCCTAGTGAATTTTCACCATTTAATGCTCAGGATGTCAAGTAAATTTACAAGGACAAGAAAGTAACCCTTCAAATCACACCTGGTTGGTAATGTAGACAATATCCTAGTTCTTAGAACCACTTTTGCAGCACAGTGAAGCTATTCCATACAGATTAATTTCTCTGGGCACAGGAAAGGGAATTTAAAAATTTGGTTGCTGTAATTCTAAAGAGAAATAATTCAGAAAGGCAAAGGGAGAAAGGGACAAGAGGAACTCTAGATGGTTTCTGAGCATGGCCTCATGTGTGTGATGTAGATGCAAGAACTTTATGTCTTGGGCCCACATCTATCTTTGGTCCTTTCGATGAGGATCTTTGAAAATGAGGATCAGGATCTTTGGTCTGTTCAATGAGAAGGTGAAAATCTCAATTCTGGGTTTTACACTTACATTCAACATGTTCAGCTTCTTTCATTTCAGCTGTGCTGTACCAAAATAGAGAAGCTTACAAACAAGAGATTTCTTTTGAATTTCCTATATAAAAGTGTTTAGGGTAACTATATTTATATCTAAGCAATTCCCACATAAATGTGGCTTTTTCTGCAGGTAACATTCTGGAAATCTTGCAGCTCTGGAAATTAGCAAATTCTCAAGTAGAAATGGGGTCTTCCTGCACCAAATTCAGACTGGCTGGCTTTTGTAATGCTGGTCCAGTGAATTTTCCACATGGTTAAATAAAATAATTTCTGCTGTTTCTCACTCCAAAATAGGATACATATAATTATGCAGGAGGAATAAACTCTATTGCAATAAATTCTGTAGCTATTCTGAGAATGCCTGCTATGTTTCAGGTTTCTCCTTTTCCACTACATCACCACTCACAACACTGCCTATGGTGCCCCAAATTAAACGTGGAATATACCATACAACCTATAAAGTTAGAACTTCCTAAGTAGTTTACTCTGGATTTGATGAAAATCCATCCTGCCATTTTTGGCATTAATATACAGAAACTAACTTTTATTTGTATAAATTAGTTCTTTTAATTACATCTTATAGTTGGAGATTAGTGTATAAAACAAACTTTATATAGTACACAGAAATTACTTCAGAATTAACAGTCAATAAATGAGTAATTATAAATCCATTTATCTCAATGGAGTTAATTAAAAAAACAGAAAAAAGCAGTAAGATATAGATTTTGTTATATTTTTATTTATTTTTTTCTTTACTTAGGAGTTTTCTTAAAATAAATTTGGCACATCACAAAATTATTCTGGATGCATTCAGGGTTTTTGTAAATATAAACACTTGCCAGTTCTAATCAGTATCAGTTTAATCCTATATATATATATAT